TGGCAATGCAACAGAAAAAAGAGGAAGAGGAGCTGCGAAGAGAATTGGCTCAGGACATGGTACAATATAGAGCGATACATCAACGAGCTGAAGACAGTCGTGATGCAGATATCAATTATGGCCGACAGGCGGCGCCAGACGCCAGTATTTCTGTCTCGGACTCTGCATTGGGACCCGCCAGTATGCAAGTGTTTTTGGTAAGCATAGCATGTACGGTAAGTGTTTGTTGGGACACAGCAACAGATAAAGTCTCTAACAAATGACATGGACACGAAAGGTTCACATTTATGGTAAACTTTATTTTAAGGTGTCCTTGTCACAGTGTAATTAAACGTTTGAAGGGATTGTTAACTAAAAACGAAAATTCTGCCATCATTCACTCACCCTCAAGTTGTTCCAAACCTGTATAAGTTTCTTTATTCTGCTGAACACAAATAAGTTATTTTGAAGAATGTGGGTAACCAAACATGGACCTATTGACTTCCATACATAGTATGAAAAACAAATATATTGGAAGTCAGTGGGGACCATCCACTGTTTGATTAACAAAATACCTTCTTGTGTTCAACAGAAGAAAGAAACTCGTACAGGTTTGGAACAACTTGAGAATGAGTAAAAAATGACAAAATGTTCGTTTTTTGGGGTAAACTATCCCTTTAAGTCATGAGTAATATTTATATACATGTACTTACTATGGGTTAAAATTAGGATAAGGGTTTGGTATAGGTTAGTTGCATGTAATTATGCATATTTTACTGTTATTACAACAGTAAGTATGTCACATGTGTACCAAGAACACTATAAAATAAAGTGTTACAAAAATTTACTGAATTTGAATGTGAATGTAAGGACAATAAGTTTTTTGTAACTTTTCAGCATTTATTTTAGGTTTTTCACCATTTTTAGTTCATTTAAATAGTCTTAGTGTGACAAAAAAGAAGTACAAATATGTAGTCTCAAATACAACAGCCTTAAAAACTGAATTATGTATATGTGTGTGTGTGTGTGTGTGTGTGTTTATTAAAATAGTTTTATTGGAAATATAGCTCGTCACATTGCAGGATTCCACTGTTCATATTCTATGTATATGTTTATTCGCACTTGGTCAGGGAGAAGGAATGAATGAAAATGAAAAGAAGAGAGCTCAGAAGGAAATGAACGAGAGAAACCTGAGAGCTCAAAAGGAGGAGAGGGAAAAACAAGAAAGGGAACAAAAAAACAGAGGTAAACAGATTACATTATATTCCATTTAGCTCTGTAATGTTAAAATAGAAGGAACGATAATGTAAGTGTACTTCATCTGTGTTTGTGTGTGCAGAGCTGCTAACCGGCAGGGAGTTGGTGGAAAAAGACCTCAGGGCGGTGCAGCTGAGTGCCCTGGAGGAGGAGTGCAAAAGAGCAGCCCACATTGCACTCAGTCATTACAATCAAGCTCAGGTATTATCTCACCACTAAACTAATGAAGGCAATCATTTGTGTTTATTTTTAGTAGGTTATTAAATATTAAATAAATATTGTTCTCCCAATAATGAACACGAGGTCATTTTCTCACCCTCAAGATGTTCAAAACAACTTTCATGGAAGATGGAAAGGAGATATATTGAAGAATATTCACACTGCTATTTTCTATACTACAAAATCATACACTGTAAAAAGTGGCAACCTGCCATTGTCACCCCAAAGAGCTATTTTTATCCAATATGAGGTTAATATGCACCAACACGGGTTTGAAATGACATGAGGATGAGTAAATCATGATAGAAATTTCATTTTGAAAACCCAGAGGCACCATAGATCTTTGAAATGAAAGGTCAAGGTAACATCTGACCTCCCTTTGCAGGCTGAGGAGAGGATGGAGAGGGAGCAACAAGAGAGACTGAGGAGAGAGGGAGAGGAGCTGGCAGAGGTGCGGTACATGGTGACCTCTGACCTCCTGACAGAGCGACCAGAGGCTGCCAAGAGAAAAACCGAATCCTCAGCAGAGGGTCCACGAGTCCTGACCGACCGCTGGAAGGGCATGACCCCACAGCAGATCAGTGAAATCCACAGAAAGAGAGAGGAACAGTGTTTGGAGAAAGAGGTTAAGATCCTGCACTGACATGTGCCATTTGAGCATGCATTTATAAGTCATCATAAAAGTAATACTCTTTTATCCCTTTCCAATTTCACCAGAGACTGAGAGAGATGGAGAGGCAGAGAGATGTGGCCTGGAATTACCATCTGACAGAGCAGGCCAGACAGCAGGAGAGAGAGGAGAATAGAGACAAGGAGCTGCAGAGAGAGAGGAGAATTCAGCTCGATAAATACAATCAACAGCTGGCACGAGAGCAGCAAGCGCAGTAAGTGGCACATTCATATTTCACTATTGTTAAAAACACACAGCAGGATGCAAGCAGAACGCAGACAACTGGAAAATAAACTATCAAGAGTAGTAAAAGACCTTTAAAAAATGGTCTGTACAATTCATCACAGCGCATTATTAATTTTTTCTTTACATTTTAAATAACCTGCTCCTCTTCCACACAGTTTCTGTTTGGCTGACATCTGCTAGGCCATAAATAAACAATTTTAAGCTAATGTGGTTGGTAATGCAAGCTTACCAATAGCTAATATTATAATGGTAATAATAGGGTCACTTTTCACAATTCAAAATCCCATCCTGCATGTTTTTCTTGTTTAATATATTCTATTTGACCTGGATATACACTACCGTTCAAAAGTTTGCAGTCGGTATTTATTTATTTTTTGGAAGAAATAACTACTTTTATTCAGCAAGGATGCAGCATTAAATTCATCAAAGTTGACAGTAAAAACCACAAACATATTCCACAGACATTAAATAGCACAACTGTTTTCAACAGTGATAATAATAAGAAATGTTTCTGCAGCAAATCAGCATATTAAAATGATTTCTGAAAATTCATGTGACACTGAAGACTGGAGTAATGGCTGCTGAAACTTCAGCTTTGCCATCACAGGAATTAATTAAATTGAAATATAATTATGTTTAATTTATATTATATTTAAATGTAATAATTTAAATATAATATTAAACAGGAAACAGTTATTTAAAATTGTAATAATATTTAACAATATTGTTTTTATTGCATTTTTGATCAAATAAATGCAGCCTTGGTGAGAATAAGAGACATGAGAAAAAAAAAAATCTTGCCGACCCCTACCTTTTGAATAGTAGTGTCCGTTACATTGCAGAAGTAAAATTTCATGTTCACTTTGACACTTAACACCAAAAGTGAGTACTTAATAATAGATACATTTCTGTGTATGCAAATTCTAATTTTGTTCATTGTATAGCTACTAGTAATAATAATAATGTTGCTAGTAGCTATTTGCAAAGTAATTCTTGGATATCTAGAAACACCGTGTTTTCTGTTTTTCAGCCAACACTACCTGGACAAGCAGCAGTATACAAACCGTCCCACAGTTCACTACTTCACCCAGTTCAGCACAAGCTCTCGATAAAGCACCATCCCATTCCATCCTCTCATCTGATCATTCTCCTGCACGACAAATAAAGTGCTACTGGATTTCAATGCACTGTGTACGTTTGACATTCATAAATTGAACTTTTATAGGTATCATTGCCGACAGTATAAAATGTTATATAGTGATGAATTTTATACAGAATGTTACAGATGTAGATGATCCCATTGATATTAAGAAGTATTTACTTACACTGGCTTATCGGTGCTGCAGATACAATAACAAAATCCAGTTCATATCTATTTATCGTACCCCACCCTCACTTCCCCTTCAGTCCACAACACCACAGGGGAATGTGACCAATACATTCCCACAACCTCATTCATCTCGTCCTTCATTTATTTTCACATCATATGCAGTAACAAACAGAACATACAAGAGGAATAAGAGACTATTATGTCAAGCTTATTTATGCATTAAGCCTACAGTTTAAGATGCATTATGAGCTTGAATGCGTACATTTGACAAGTAACAACAGAAACGTTCGTCCGCTAGTCAAGCTTTAAACGGTGCCCTCCCTCCCAGTTTTAGTTGCAGTAGCAGAGGGCAGTATAGTGGATATCCGAGAGTCGATTCACCTCCGAGCTCAATACACAGTCAAGACACTGACAAAATACACAAGTCGTCTAGCAGCAGTTCAGTTGAATATTGAGTTGAATAGAATTTGCATCACTTCCCCTCCTGTAAGAAAATAGATCTCTAAGAGACTTCTGTCCTGAGTGTGTCTGTACAGCTTTTTTGAGGGAGGGTAACACAGATCGGACAATCACTGCAAAAAGCCCGCCGCAAGACAGTGGTCTCAAAGATCTGAGTCAGCGTGTTTCTATTGCTCCCTGGAAGCGTGTGTGTGTGTGTGTGTGTGTGTGTGTGTGTGCAGTGGTGCAAATGAGATGACTGCGTCCTTCCTTTCACGCTGCCTCTGCAGCAATAGATTCTAATCAGATACGCACAATACTGCCATTCTTTAGCACTCGGGAAACTATAAGCGCAATTAGCTTTTTTCTGTCTCTTTTATCCAGTCAGCTTTTTTTTTTCAGAACCTGCAACATTTATTTATCAAAGGACTTTTTTCTTAGTTATTTAAAACTATGCACTACTTGTCTACCACACTCAAATCACAACTAACAAGTTACTCTAAAGTTAAAAAAAAAAAAGTTACAAAAATTTAAAAACCTAAAACATAATCAACAAGACACAGTTATCAACGTCATAACAAACAATCTTTTGGGCTATATTTACATTCATCTGGAAATTAAGAGATTTTTTTCCCCCCTGTGCCCCTCTCTTGAGAAATACCAGATGTGCCATAGATTCTCTCAGTGCTATATTCTGCTATATTTGTTTATCAAACGTCAAATCAAATGAACCAAAAAGCGAAAAAGGGAACGAATGCTATTTGGTATACTGGTATGGAACAATTCCCACCCAAACAAAGCATACATTCTGTGTAATAAGACAAGCCAATACATAATTGCATTTAAGTAACCAAACCTAAACTGTGTGTGTGTGTGTGACGTACTCTCTCACAGCCCTATCTAACTCAATACGACCTCAAATCTACGCACTTTACGCGTGTATTCTTATGGCTTTACACCAACAGGACCGCAAGAGATAATCAGTACAGTTTAATACAACGCAGAAAACAAGAATTAAGAACACAGACACATACAGAGGGAGGAATAAACATGAGAGATGGTGGTGAGTATGTTGTCGAAGGCAGGCACAGGAACCGATGGAGATTAAAGCGATTATAATACTGTATTTGGCTAAATTGATAGATGCTTGTATGTACAGCTTGCTATAAACGATCTAGCGTCGTAAAGCCTTTGCATCTCATGTATTTACACTACGGAAATCTGTAATCGTAACTGAGGGGATGTCATTGTCGATATGTATCTTCTATTGATATGTATACACTACAATATATCAACATACAGATGACTTAAAGGTACTGTAAGCAAATTTTATGGAACGGTTGTTGATTAGATGGTGGCAGATCTGAATGTGACATTGTAGTCGATTCTAAGAAATTCACTGGAAGAAAGAGTTAAGACATCGATAATTTTGAGTTAAAAATGAAACATATTTCACAATGTCAATAAGATGCATTGAGAAAATAGATGAAGTTTCATTTCTGAAAAGAACTAGGCACTGTTCAAACATCTACTATAATATATAACCAAATTTAGCAAGTTGTTCGCCGAAAAAAATACTCTATCAGAAAACATTGCGAATTTTGCCAGAGAAAGTTGTTTGTAATATGTACCAGCAGGGCAATGCGAACCGCGCTAATCTTTTTAAAGTCAGTGGCTAAAACGGAGAAGTTCCACAATGGCTAACATCACTTACAGCACCTTTAAAACACGACACAAACTGATTCTTGTGTAAAAAAAAGAATAAATTAATAATACAAAATTAATTATAAAAATGGTTCAGGCAAGTCTTCAAAGAATAAAAAAGCAACAAATGGTAGAGACGCACAAAACACAATAAGTTGATTAAATTTTGCAACAAGTATAACCAACTCACGCTGTCTATATGCTTGCACAACGCACTTAGTCATGATTTTAAGGCCCTCAGCTTCTCTCTTCTCCCTCACACCCTCCTTCCGCAACGCTTTTTATTGACCAACAGGTGAATCTGACTCCGATTTGGGATGGGAGCTAGGCGTCTACCTTATTTGTCACTGGATTAGTCTCTTCTTGTCATGTTTGTACAACTGTAAACGGCTATAGCCTATTTTATATCGTAAAATGAGCGATAATATCTGTAAACAACGAGCAAGGCAGTCTATTTGTTATATGTCAGTCGAATGTTTTCCTCTGGCTGTGTTAAAAGTGTTGTGTTGGTCCAATTACGTCCAGCAGTGCATCTGGATGGTTTTCTTGGCATCTGTTGTGTGTGTAGGTCTCATTATTGTGGGTTTTGGATTATTTGGTCAGTCATGAGCGGTTGCAACAGGTGGGCACATGTGTGAATCCACGATTGGTCTCGGTGTCGCCCCGGCTAGTCAAGGAGGGCGGCGGAGTTGGGCAGGCCGTGGTGGGAGATGGCTGTGGCAGGATTTAGAGGGGAACTTTCCTGAGTCCCAGGGTCAGGAACATCTCGGACTCCACTGCTCTGACTGGCCAGCGACTCGTCCATGATGACCTCGGTCTGCACGCTGTTGCTGTTGGCATAGTCGTCTAGAGCGTCGTCGGTACATAGCTTACTATCCTCGCACAGAGACGGCTGGCTGGCCGTCCGCTTCTCCTCATTGTCACTACGGAAAGAAAAAATACAATTAAATCTACAAATGTACACCAAGTGAGATGTCAAAAATGCCACGCCATGCATGCAAGGGAAAGTATTGAGAAAGCCATGCATGCAAAGGAACACAACGCCACTGCAAAGCATACCTCTCCAGTGATCTGCAAATCGTTAGGAAGAGCATTTAAGAGAGAAAGGAAGAGCATAAGAAATAGGGAAAGGAAATTTATGCAATAATCTGTCTAACAAACTTCACCACACCTGTATTCTCCAAAACCCTCATTATTCATTGGCCGAGCTTCAGAATCTATCTGGCCTTCTTCTTTTTCTTTGACTGTAATAAGAATAAAATTCAGGGATATTTGCACATTTGTTAGTACTGTCACGTGACAATAGATTAGAAGGATGTGTGTGCTTCTTTTACCTGAGTATTTTCCACCTTTGCTTCGTTTTATGAAACACAGAATGAGCAGTACCAGCAGCAACAGCACGAGGGCGCTGATGAGTCCAATGAACCAGCTCTCAGTCACAAACCCTTTACGCACCTCCATGACTTCTGAAGTAGAGGGAGGGAATGATGTATGAATTTCAGACACTTTGTATGATATTGAAGGGGAAAAATATGGAAATGCTGTGATCATTTACTCTCCTCGAAAATTCTCAAAAAGTCAATTGATCAAAAGTGACTGTAAAGATATTTATATTGTACAAACGATTTCTATTTCAAATGTTGTTCTTTTAAAATTACTATTCATTAAAGAATCTTGATTTTTTTTTATTATGGTTTATATATATAAACAGATATATATATATATATTAAAAAATTGTAATAATGTTTCTCTATATTACTGTTTTACTGTGTTTTTGATCAAATAAATGCAGCATTGTCGAGTATAAGAGACTTATTCCAGAAATTGCTTCTGTGGTCTGCATGTAAATAGGACACTGGTGCAATTTATTATAAAAAGCATTAAGAGAGCTGTTTTGTGATTACTTGCTCCTGCTGTCTGGATCTCATCTTCCCATAAAGTTTTGTTTTTGAAGTCAATCTTCAGGCGGTACTCGGCTCCGGACTGGAGCCCCTGCAGTGTGTAAAAGGACTGAGAGCTGTTTACTCTTTCAGAGTGCTTCCATGTGCCTTTGCCTGGACAGAAAAAGACAATACAATACAAATCAAATCACACTCATTTTTATTCTCTCTCAGTCACTGAAAGAGTAGAGGCACTAACTAACATAAGAGGTAATAAAGCTGCTACTTCCTATTTTGCTATTCAACAAGCAAGCTTGTGTTCAGTCTGGAGCCCCTGCAGTGTGTAAAAGGACTGAGAGCTGTTTACTCTTTCAGAGTGCTTCCATGTGCCTTTGCCTGGACAGAAAAAGACAATACAATACAAATCAAATCACACTCATTTTTATTCTCTCTCAGTCACTGAAAGAGTAGAGGCACTAACTAACATAAGAGGTAATAAAGCTGCTACTTCCTATTTTGCTATTCAACAAGCAAGCTTGTGTTCAGTCGTTTTCAATCACGTCCTGTCCATACGGCACGTACCATCCTTTTTCAGGTAATGAATAAAGAATCCCACGTTCCTCTGTCTTTCTTTCGATACCCAGGTCAGGTTGACTGATGTCTCTCCAGACGATAAACTAATGTTGGAGGGCGGAACTGTTCACACACACACACACAAAAACCAAGTGAGACTTAGACAAACTCATTTGTCCAAATATAATTCAAACTGGTTGTGAATATGTCACATTTCCCCCCCCCCCA